TGATTCGACGTCAATCCGTCCTTTCCATCTTCAGGATAGTTGAATCCTCCTACACGCCTCATCCCTCTGTTCCGGGCTGGACCGGCAACGTATATCGCAATCGGGCAGCTCACATAGGAGCGCTCCTGTAGCCGGGTGCAGTGAGTGCTTGGGAGGGGGGAAGGGGGTGGGTCATGGGTGGCGGCTGCCCACTGGGTGGGCTCAGTCTCCACTCTACGATTGACCGTGTCCGGTCAGACAAATGTCTCCCCTAATTCCAATAATCCTGCTAGCTCTAAAAATGGTCTGATTAGATAAAAAGCCTATCAAAGTAAGAAAACAGGCGTATAATCCACATCAAGCAGCTTATGAATCTATGCGAGTTATGAATCCTAAAAATTATTATTTTCCCATGGGTCCGCCCTCATTACCCCTGCCGAAGGGCTCAGCTACCCTCAGAGGGGGCCTATCCCACTATTTGCCGACCCTCAGTTATCTTTTCTAACGTAAATGCTGGTAGTCAGCAGATTCTATCCAGAGAATGGCGATGCCTATCTGTCGCCTGATACCAGAATACATCCCCGTTATTCATTATTTATGCACAATGTACATAGTAGATCCAATTTCCAAAGGACCTAATTATCTCTCAGCTCCGTTAGCATCGCTGACCGTTTGATGCATGGGTCCTTTTCCTACCATGCGATTTTCAGATGCATGGGAACACATTGCTTAGTGAACGAACAGCCCGAGGCCGAAAATCTGCGAGAGAAAAAGAAAGGAGTGTTTGTGGCTGTTTGAGCCAGCAAATATGAAATGTGTCGCAACATTTTACGTGCGAACGCACCTTGCACTAAACATACCTACAGGGTGTTTCACTAAAAGTGTCAAAAAGTAAAAGGTCATAATGCACATAATAACAATGTTTTCTAAGGAAATTTGCATATCATTTCATCCGCAATTGTTGGACATTTGAATATATAAAAACGATATCACCGTCACTCAAACCTATTTCACACATCTGCCCCTTCTTTTGATGCACCGTTTCGGCACGTGTCCGGAGGTGCCTCACAGCCCGTTTTCATCCTCAGCGTCCAGACTGTCGGCAAAGCCTTGAATTGTGCTCTTCAGCTCCCGAAGTGATGCGACTTGAGTCTTCCTCAGCTCTGCGAGAGCTACTGAGTCACTGACCAAACCAGAGGCTTAGCGGTGACAGATCGGGGCTTCGCGCTGGCCAGGGGCGGGCGGCGAGGCAGCTGATTATTCGGCCCAGGAGCTTCTGGTCCAGTCAATTCCTGGTGGCTACAGCCGTTACAGTGGTTGATTTTAATAACTTGTAAGGCCCTGGCTATTTCTGATGTTGGAATTAGCTTCTTGTTATCTTCAAAGGCCCTCAAAAAGACCCTGACCTTCTCAACGGTTTCCGCCGAGAGGTGGGGGAAACCCCGCCTTTTTTGGACTGGAACCGGCATCGAAGGAACCCTTTTAAACCTCTCAACAAGCCCTTTGAAACTTTTATAATCTGGAACGTAGCGAGGTGAGAGAGTAAAAAGTTTCCTGAAAAGTCGGCATACGGTTTCAATGTTTCTGATGACACCAAATGTACATAAGTGTAATTCATCCCTCCTGTTGCGGTGTAAATAACCTGTTCTTGTTCTGCATAAGGAAAAAATGACTAGTAACTTTGGCCTCCTGCCCTCGCTCCGTATGAGTGTAAAATATATCTTAAATGGATAAATAATAAATGTCCAAAAATTTGCAACAAAGCCACGTGCGCAGACACGTGATTTGCATATTCTATATATCTTTAATAGGCATTTACTTTTTGACACTTTTAGTGAAACACCCTGTATATACGTCCCTCATGGCATAGGCGGCGGAGCGGGGGGAGGGGGCACCGGTGCACCGTGCCCCCCTTGATTTTGCCATTTTAACATTATCCCGATAGGCGTTGCATGGAAATGGAAATGGAAAGAATGAGACCAAAAGTCAGCAGTGCTCCCCCCCTTAATTGAAGATGTTTCGCCGCTACAGCCTCATGGCTACAAAATGAGAGAGAGAAAGAAAGAGAGAGAGAAAGAGAGAGAGAGAGAGGGGGGAGAGAGGGGGGAACGAGGAGGAGAGGGAGGAAGATGGGGGAGAGAAAGAGAGAACTCACAGCGTATCACGAGTGAAGTCTACTGTTGATATTCATACTTCCGCTACCCTGCCAATGTGCCCATCGTTGCGTTTTCGCACCACCGCTGTCTTTCCGATGTGCCCTTCGTTGCGTTCCCGCAACGCGACCGTAGTCATATTTGAAAATAGTCACAAATCCTTTTTGTAGCATTATTTCTTAACAAAATGCATATCTACGCTATTGTAGGGACTCTGCAGAATATGTTTACACAATTTTCATTACGATATTATTCAGCACTTAGCCTACTTATCTTGGTTTTCGTGACGTCATCACTCACAAAACCTTCGACTTCCCTCTGGGAGCTCTAGGCAGTAACTTACCGGCCGCACAGACTTGTAACTGCGTAGTATCATGCGCACAACCATGCTACACACACTGAAACTTGTCTCATCGGTTAGTCTCTTTTACACACTTCTCAAGCTTCGATCACGTCGACGCTTGCTTGCGTTGCGAAAACGCAACGAAGGGCGTAAATGGGTTAACTCATAACCTTATGAAATTCAGGCTGGAGCAAAAACATAGGTAATAGGTTATGTCAAATTAGAATGAAAGATTAAAATCAACCTGACCAGGCCTTACGGTCCGACCGGGTCCTAACCACCTTACTTCGCCTAACTTGACCCAGTTCAACCTAGCCTACCACAACACCTGCAGAGTGCAGAGGTACCTTCCTGGAAAAATGACGCCCAGGGAGATGACTGTCCAACTTATTGAAATACTACCATGATTGCTTGTCAAAATGTGTGTCATCATGCTCTTGTTTGACAAGTGATGTATAATAAATGTGATATTCAATAATTACTCCTGACTGTTGACTGTGGAGTTATCAAAATATTCAAATAATCAGGGTACAATCCTGTGCTTTGCATAGTGCACACTTGCATAGGGCGAAACTCTCGAGGGCATGAATCAAGCCATCTCTATTACATCAAGCCGACCTATTACAAAAGATTTGTGGATGACTGTTTTCTCATTTTTAACGACGTTTCACATGTAGATCGGTTTCTCAACTTTCTGAACAGTCAGCACCCAAAAATAAAGTTCACTAAAGAAATGGAATTTAATGGCTCGCTCCCTTTTCTGGATGTTAAGGTCGAACGGTCTGGTACTGAGTTAACAACTTCAGTTTACCGGAAACCAACTTTCACTGGTCTTGGTTTGAGCTTCTTTAGCTTCATACCGAGTTCAATCAAGAAGGCCATTATTAGCTCTGCTATTTATCGTGCTTATAACCTTAGTTCAACTTACCACTATTTCCACCATGAGCTGAACTTCCTTTACAAATATTTTAGAGACAATGGATTCCCAAAAACACTTGTAGAGACCGCCATTCACAGGTTTTTGAAGAAGGAGTTTTCAAAAAGTCCTACTATGTTCCAGGTACCCAAGCTAGACAGGTACTTTGTGCTACCTTTTTTTGGAAAACAATCAAACAAACTAAGATCTGAGGTAGAGTCCACTCTAAAAATGTTTTATCCCAACCTGAACCCCAAGATCATTCTCCGCAACACCCGCAGCATAGGCTCTCTTTTCTCGTTTAAAGACGTGATCCCGAAAGCATGCCGCTCTGCTATAGTTTATCAGTTCAGTTGCCCCTCGTGTGAGGGGACATACATAGGCTCGACCTATGTGCGCCTTTATAGCAGAGTGTGCCAGCATCAGGGCAAGTCGGACAGAACGGGAAATTTTCTTACCTCTCCTGTAGCCTCTTCTGTTAGAGACCATTCATTGGCATGCGACGTACCATTTTCGTTGAACGATTTTAAGATCATTGACAAAAAACGTTCAAACTTTAATTTAAGAATTCTGGAATCGCTTCACATATTCAAGTCTAGGCCTTCCATCAATGATAAGTTGTCGGCGTATAAATTAGATATCGTTACCTAGGGGTCCTTGATGAAACATGAAACGTTTATGATATGCATGATTTTATGTGCGATACTGTGTTGCTCTTGTTATGTCGCCTGGGCCCGTATTCAGGTCGACGGCGTAAGTACATATTTTTGCGTAAGTACAAAATTTGTATTCAGGTTGACATACTTAAGTATTATTTGAGCCGAAGCCATCTACTTACGCCATTTGGTATTCAGGTCGAACAGCGTAAGTAAGTTTGGTATTCTGGTCAAAAACTTAAGTAAAACCTACGCCAGTTGGTATTCAGGTTGACATACTTAAGTTAATGCGTAAGTAAATAATCTACCTACGGTATTTTCCCATTGGCTATGGATGGAAACTCGATTGCTTTATTTGCTATTACCATCGACATTGCTTGAATTCCTTAGTGACAAAGTGACAGAAGTGTTTCATGTTTATTTCGTAGGCCGGACTGAGTGACAAGTGTTTCATGTTTATTTCGTAGGCCGGACTAACACCATTATGGCTAAATTGTGATAAATGCATTCTCACCAAGCATCCATTCGCAGCTTAAACCGCGTACCGACGGGGGTCTGCGCCAACTTAGAACCGACGGGGGGGGGGGGGCGGATGACCGCCCCCCTGAAATCTCGAAAACGAAGCAAGATAGCGACAAGTGGTAAACGGCATGGGGTGCGCACGGGCAGGGTCTACAATTTTTACAAAGGTCATTGTCAGGTCAGGTCAAAGATGACGTCACAGAGGTCAAAATGGCGGCGCCTGATATGAAGAGATTTTTTTCTCGAATAACTTTCGAAGTGGCCAAGCTAGGAAACCCTCGCCGAAACCCTAGGAAGCCCTAGGAAACCCTAGGGTTTCCTAGAGCGAGGGTTAACCCTAGGAATCCCTAGGGTTAACCCTCGCCGTGCTGGTGGTCTGAGTTTTCCGTCTCGTGCTGGGGGGGGGGGGGGAGGCGTTTGTAGGCCCCCGTCTAACTTGGCTCCTGGAAGAGCAGCAAAAATAAGCAAGGAAATACCACTGGCATGTGGTCAGGTCAATAGTCAGGTCAGCAGAGGTCATCAAAGGTCAAATTTCGCCTATTTCAAACAATTTTCGAAAAACCGACGCATAATTCTGGACCACCAATAGAGGAGCTACAGAGCCGCAGGAAAGCGCATTCGATAGCCTAGATTGAGCCCTAAGATTTGACTTCAGGTCAACAGTTAAGCCTCCATAGGGCAAAAAAAACTAAAAATAATCATTTTTATAAAAAAAAGTTTCGGTAAAAACTGTTGACTCAAGAGAGTAACGACATTACTTTTACTAGCATCGTGTTCCTCTCGTCGAGCCGTCGAGTCGAATTCACTCTAATTTGACATTGACAGGTCATTTTGAAAAGTTGACCTCATGTCAATCTCATGACCTGACCAAAAAAGGTATTTTTGCATATCAGTCGATCCGTATAGTTGAGCTGAACACATCTGAGGTACTTTCACTGCTCTAGCCTATCTCTATCTAAAGTCGTTGTCGAACAAACTGTAGGGGACCTCCCATGACCTGTGGTGTCCTGTGCCAAGGTCAAGTGAAGATCAGGTCAATGTCCTTGACCTAAGACGACCTTAGTTTACTTTTCGAGCCCATCATGTTAGGTACTAGGATATTTTTTGGAGATAATGTCGAATTTGGCAACCATTGTCCATTTGAACATTTGTAGTTTTGATGTCAATGGGCACAGTAGGGTTCCCCCGCCCCCACATGCATCCTCCAAATTTCGTCTCTAAAGCTTCCATAGAAGCTGAGATCTTAGGGGTCGACATTCGTCCCCCCCCCCCTCCCCTTCAATGGCCGTAGTTCTCCGAACTCTTCCAATGCGCGTGATAAGTCAGCTAAATACGAGTATGGCTTGTTGTATTCCAGAGAAATAGACGAAACATGTAGGTACGACACGTAGTAACAATCTCAAACAAGCTTTCCGCCCGCTCTCATTTACAGGCTGGTGTAGGACATAGTTGGAGCACAGTCTCCTGCACCCAGTCGCCATTCCATCACCGATGCGATTCGTTGAAGGGCGAAGCTTTGCAGGCGCTGTTCTTCAGTGATTTTCTTCAGCTCCTCCAGAATATCTTTCTGGACCGCCAGCATAGCTTCCACCCGGGACCGGTGTTCTTCCCCTTCCCCCCTTCGCGGACGTTTCTTCGGTGGAAGCTGCGAAGTGCTTGGATGGTCGCCGTTGGTTACATCTTCCACAGTTTCCGACGTGTCCACGCCCCCCACTACACCGTCAACTGCCTCCTCCCCGATCACTTCAACTATCTTAATGCTCAGGCTGTTGGGAGGTGGCGGTGGAGGTCCTCCGCCGGTTTTCTTTGTTTCGGCCTTGTACCTGCCTACATCTTTCTTGGCTTGAAGCTTCAAGTCGTTCCACTTCTTTTTCAAGTCATCAGTGGTACGGCTGATCGCGGTTGCCGCCTGCATTTCTTCCTGTATCGTTTTCCATGTTTCTCTTTTCGTTTGAGAGCTGTTTCCAGGTCCAGAAAATTTCCCCAAGATTGTGGCTTTGTCGAACATTTTTCCATCGATGATCTTCAATGAAATGCATTTTACTCGATTTTACAACGCATTTCTTCAAATGCCTGTAAACGGTGAAAATTCGACAGTTGACCTGACCTGTGACGTCATCGGTTTGACCTAGGTCAATGAACTTGCGTCACAAGATAGGCCCCTGTTGGGGCTATCCAACACCGTTTGCCGCTTGTCGCTATGTCGCGTGGTTCTCAAGATCTTAGGGGGCAAATTGCCCCCCCCCCCCAGCAGGGCGCGTGGCTCGGCAGACCCCAACGGGGCGCCGGTTAATTTGACACCGGCTCGTGTCTCAACAAATGAATTTCCTAGCCACCATATGTCGGCCGGAAAAGACGTCATAATATGTGTATATGTTTTTTTATATATGTAATATATATTTATTTTAATATGTGTATACATTCTAAGATATATTTTTAAGATTTTAAGATAAAAACGAGTGAAAGTTTATTAAGTAATATGTAACTAATTAGCTACGAAGCTACGTCATCAAACATGCATGCATGAATGCATGCACATACATTCATAAATGCGTGATTCAAGCTTCCATTCTATTCAAAAAATGACTTACGTGTCCTCCGGAGCACACGTAACTTCACAATGATAAACAAATGGACATACTTACGCCAATCGTAAGTAGATTTGACATGAATGCCAAATATACGCCTCACTTACGTGCGCCGTTCGACCTGAATACCAAAATGCAAGATTTACGTAAGTTGTCTGGAATTGAACAATTTTTACTTAAGTATGTACTTACGCCAAAATGATACTTAGGCCGTCAACCTGAATACAAAAACTACTTACGCATTTGCGCAACTTAAGTAAAACTTAAGTTACGCCGTCGACCTGAATACGGGCCCTGATTGCTTATTTTCTCACAATATGTACTGTTGTGTGTAACTTCACTGATGATGTCTTTGTTCAGAGACGAAACGTTTGATTTTACATGAAGAATATAACGATATGCCTTGTAATAAGGTTTCTACTGCTCCTGAAGCCAACAAAAGTCAGACTTTTTGACGCAATTTGTAGTGTGAGAGTTGGGTTTTGGAGGCTGTCGCCTCGGCGCCGCGGGGAGCGTCGGCCGGCCGCCGTCTGCCCCGTCCCCTCCGGTGTGGACGGAGGGCACATCTGGTGTCGGAGCGGTCCCGGCGGCCGTTCGTCCCAGTTTCGGGGCCATGCCGGCGCGCCGGATAGGGAAGAGGGAGAGTCGTGTCCGAGCCATGGGACCGCACGGTGGTGTGTGAGGGTGAGCGAGAAATACAAAGCAATTTGGCAAAGACTACCTTTTACAAGCTATTTCGGCAACATGCCTGAAGAGAGCGATGGTGCAGTGACGCGGCAGTGATCGGCACCGCTTGCAACGACTTGCAACGGAGCTGTCGAGGCAGTGAGAAGCAGGGGTCGCCCAGGAGCCGTGGCGTCTGCCGTGGACCCCGCCCGTCACCTCGTCTGTCCCGGTGGCTGCTGCTGGACTGGCCCGTTGGAGGATACAGCCGGCCGGGAGGATCGGCAGATACGGCCAGGTGGACTGCGACCGGCAGAAGAACCTAGTGCCGCTGGACAACTGGACACTGAGCGGCTGGGCCGCTCTGTACAATGCTCTGGCGAGTGATGCTCGCAGTGAGGGTGCTGGCGAGTGATGCTCGCAGTGAGTGCGCTGGCGAGTGATGCTCGCAGTGAGGGTGATGGCGAGTGGTGCTCGCAGTGAACGTGTTGGCGAGTGATGCTCGCAGCGGTGAAGGTGACAGCCGGTGGGGCTGTGGAGGAGCGGCAGCCGGTGGGGCTGTGGAGGAGCGGCAGCCGGTGGGGCTGTGGGATTGGCAGCCGGTGGAGCTGTGGAAGTGACAGCCGGTGTGGCTGTGGAAGTGACAGCCGGTGGGGCTGTGGAGGTGGTGGCAGCCGGTGGGCTGTGGAGGTGATGGCAGTTGCCGGGACTGCACTGAAAATTCCACAGGAGGGCCGTGTGGTGGCATTCGCCGGCACTGCACTGGAAATTCCACAGGAGGGCCGTGTGGTGGCAGTCGCCGGCACTGCACTAGAAATTCCACAGGAGCCGTGTGGTGGCAGTCGCCGGCACTGCACTAGAAATTCCACAGGAGTGTGGTGGCAGTGACCGGGACTTTTTAGAATAAGTGTCGGATTGTTTGTGAGCTCGTGGTTTTTGTGTGTATTTGATTTGAGGTGACCAATTGATTTTGTGTGCGCCTTTGATGGACAGGAGAGGGCAAGTGGTTGAATGAGAGAGCTGGTAGTTTCGTGGCATCTGTGGTCCGTGTGTGCATTTGATTTAAGGTGACCAATTGATTTTGTGTGTGCCGTTGATGGACAGGAGAGGGCAAGTGGTTGAATGAGAGAGCTGGTAGTTTCGTGGCATCTGTGGTCCGTGACAAAATTGGTGAGCCTGGCCAAGCGCATTTCTTCATGCCGGGCGCTGCACGTAAAAAAGATTCTTAAATGATTGGGGAAGGCACGTGGACATTATGCGTGCTGATTAGGAGCGTTTAAGAGAATGGCTCTTAGGATTGCTTGGCTGGTCGTGTGCGTGTTTGTGTTAAAATTTCAGTGGTTGATTCTTGAGAATCAGGGGAAGGTGTAGTGTGAGAGTTGGGTTTTGGAGGCTGTCGCCTCGGCGCCGCGGGGAGCGTCGGCCGGCCGCCGTCTGCCCCGTCCCCTCCGGTGTGGACGGAGGGCACATCTGGTGTCGGAGCGGTCCCGGCGGCCGTTCGTCCCAGTTTCGGGGCCATGCCGGCGCGCCGGATAGGGAAGAGGGAGAGTCGTGTCCGAGCCATGGGACCGCACGGTGGTGTGTGAGGGTGAGCGAGAAATACAAAGCAATTTGGCAAAGACTACCTTTTACACAATTAAACGAGACCTTCTCATGGCATTCATCAATACCTTTCTACCGAACAAGTACCTTATACCTAGCTTCCATGCAATGATTCTAAAATTTGTCCGCAATCCATCTATATCTCAACTGACACAATGAATTTCAAATACCCTAACAAAACCTATAACTGTACATAAGAAGAATGCAATACTACAAGAATTGTGAATTTCTGAAGTTATTCTCACATGCTGAATGTTGAAACTCTACTTTTGTCGTCCATTTCCATGTTTGATTGAGCCATCATATAGAACTGTTTCCGTTCTACAGTCACAAGCTTTCCCACAAATCTTGAATTTTTACACATCATCTTGAACCATGCTCCAGTCTTTCCAACAAAGCAATTTTGATTTGTTGCAACTTGCAACAGCTTCAGATCATGATATGCTTGAGGTTTGTCACACCCGTTACACCATTTGTCAGACAAATCTCTGCAAAATGTGTATCAATTCCCAAACAAAGTAATTGATCATATCAGTATTTGCAGTTTCCACACAATGTTTCATAATACTATTCTATGTTTATATAAAGAAACTCAAATAATCCACAAATTGTTATTGAAACACTCCCACTTCAAGAATTCACAGCAATAACAGTACAAGTTCAGAAGCAAACAAACATTGCGCCACATTTCGTATGAAACGCGCCATCGCCCTGAAGTTTCTACCACAGACGGTAGTTCAACCGCAGCCGTAGTGCGAAAACCCCTGCCCACCTTACCCCACGGCGGAGCTCGGTTGCAATTTGTAAATACGCGCTACAAAACGTTTTAGTCAAACATTTAAAAATCGTTAGATATCTGCGCTGACGTCACACATTCAGAGGGGTATTCTTATGCATTAGCCCCTCTGAATCAAAATGCTGCAATTTTGAAATTCAATATTTCCGATTTAAGGCATTTCTCGATGTTGTGAGTGCCGAAACCGGTAATTGTGAGCCAGGGACCCCATTTTGGCTATCTCAACTCAAATCTAATGTTAAGGTGGGAGGGTCCCTTTAAATTCTTCAAATTTTGAGTACCCCAGTGCGAAATTCGCCCCGACGGGTTGTCGGTCGTACCCCAACCACATTTCACACCACTATGAACAATAAATGCACACACTGAAATCGCTATTACCGATAGGCTCATCCAATCAAGTTTCGATAAACATCATCATCTCCTGCGGTTTCGAACACGCCTGTTAGGTGGTGCGGTAGACCGCGCCCAAAGCCAGGGCCCCGGTAACGTGAGGTAGCCGAGTCGGGGCAGCGTGCGCTGACCCAAGCCGGGGCCGCGCGTCCTCCCGGTGTCATTGATAGCCCGGGGCTGCCCGGGGATGCGGTAGACCGCGCCCAAAGCCGCGGCCCCGGCTTGGGTCAGCGCACGTTGCCCCGACTCGGCTACCTCACGTTACCGGGGCCCTGGCTTTGGGCGCGGCTTCTGCTCATACTTTGTGGTGCGGTGGTGGTGCGTGGGGCCGCGCGCTCTGACTTCGGCCAAGAAAAATGCGTCAGCTTATCATTGTCATTTCTGCCACTTTTATGTGGTGAGATGGGGTCATAACTTTAGAGACGGCTGTCTCATATAAATTATTTTACATACCTAAAATAATATTTCAAACCATAAATTAATGTTCGACAGCCAAATTAAAGAAACAATACCAATACAGGATTACAGTTTAAATTCGACATTGTGTTAACCCGGTTTACATAGCATATTTGACGAGGCTCTAGCTCGTTAATTTGGCGATAAATTCGATGCAGTGGTCTTCAAATATTTAGAGGGGATCATTTTGTAAATTGTTAAGCACCATTGGCATCTTTTGCAACATTACGGACGGAGATATAAGCTTGCAACAAACCCTATGTAAACGCGTCTGTTGTCTACGATTAGACAGCTGATAAATCATTCCCGTACGTCGTAACTCTATAATGACCTTTGCTTATTGTCACATGTGCGCCGCATTCGCGATTGTTGCCGACGCCTGTTTGCAGGTCAGCCCACTACAGTTGTTATACATATCGAAAAACCGATAAACTTTTAGGCGAAAAAAGCACTATTTTAGGCCCATTTTTTATTTTTTTGCGATATTAGGTAAAAACAGAAGCTTCTTATCCTAGGAAAAATAAAATGGGAAATCATTGGAAGGTGGCACACTACCTTTAAAGCACTGAAACAAATTCATAAAATGAAGATATGTGCTGTAAAAGAGATTAAGTACAGATTTGGTCAAATCAGGTGCATTCACCGGATAGCCCGTCGTGAAAACGGCTATTATGAACATTTTCCCTGTAAATGAAAGCTGCTGTTCCGATGAAACAACATTTTTACCTTACTATTTTATTTGACATTTGGCACATACGGCACCGACTTACCCTAAGGATGCGGTACGGGCTCTTGATGACGAGACAGACTTCTCCGTTCTCCCCGGCATCCACTGCGCCGTCCGGTGCCACCAGCGCGCCGGTTTCGCCGCGAGTGTGACTGTGCTGTACGGCGCTGCGCCATTTCTGTACCATACTGGCCAGCGGCAGAAGGCGCTCAGGGCTGGTCGGATGGGCCTGTGGGATAAATTGGAACAGGAGGACGAAAATAGATAAAATAAACGTTAGCATCTGTAGATTTAAATCCCTTTGCATTGGTATGACGTCTTACGCATACAATAACGTTGATGTGGATATGAATAGATTACACTGAGCATAAATAAACATTTTCATTAACTCCAAAGATTCATTGAACATTGAACAAAGGAAGCCTAGCGCTCATTAGCGTCGAATTTTTGAGGATATGGAATGAATATATAGGTTATCGGCATGAATAACCGAATGTCATTGCTCGCATTTTTTCCTATTATTTCACTATTTATTCATAAATACATTATAGGCGCCCTAGCTGTGTCCTACATATCTCGATGTATCGATGAACGGGCGATACATCTGATTCGCCTGATGTATGAGGATGCGTCTGATACTGCTTTATGCAAATGTGTAGGACCTGCAGCCGTCTACGTCCCGATTATTTCCATCCAATGTCTGCCTGCTCAGACAGATCAGCCCGCTGTCGATCTGACTCGTTAAAGGTAGTGTGCCAGCTTTCCTGCACCGTATGGAGTTAATGGCCCAGATAAGGAGAACCGGATTTTTAGAACTTATCCATACCTTCAAAACTCAGGGAAACGTCTTAAATTCTTCAAATTTTGAGTACCCCAGTGCGAAATTCGCCCCGACGGGCTGTCGGTCGTACCCCAACCACATTTCACATCACTATGAACAATAAATGCACACACTGAAATCGCTATTACCGATAGGCTCATCCAATCAAGTTTCGATAAACCCGTTCATCATCATCTCCTGCGGTTTCGAACACGCCTGTTAAGTGGTGCGGTAGACCGCGCCCAAAGCCAGGGCCCCGGTAACGTGAGGTAGCCGAGTCGGGGCAGCGTGCGCTGACCCAAGCCGGGGCCGCGCGTCTTCCCGGTGTCATGTGATAGCCCGAGGCTGCCCGCGGGGATGCGATAGACCGCGCCCAAAGCCGCGGCCCCGGCTTGGGTCAGCGCACGCTGCCCCGACTCGGCTACCTCACGTTACCGGGGCCCTGGCTTTGGGCGCGGCTTCTGCTCATACTTTGTGGTGCGGTGGTGGTGCGTCGGGCCGAGCGCTCTGACTTCGGCCAAGAAAAATGCGTCAGCTGATCATTTCTGCCACTTTCATGTGGTGAGATGGGGTCATAACTTTAGAGACGGCTGTTTCATATCAATTATTTTACACAAAATAATATTTCAAACCATAAATTAATGTTCGACAGCCAAATTAAAGAAACAATACCAATACAGGCTTACAGTTTAAATTCGACATTGTGTTTTCTACGATTAGACAGCTGATAACTCATTCCCGTACGTCGTAACTCTATAATAACCTTTGCTTATTGTCACATGTGCGCCGCATTCGCGATTGTTGCCGACGCCTGTTTGCAGTTCAGCCCACTACAGTATGTATGTATGTATTTATTTGAACGCCCACAGGTATGACACCCATTTACAGACGCAGTCCGATACTAAAACCTATAAATACATGTGCTCATGGGTTGTCAAATATAGGTACGTATAGTCATGTCAGAGAGATTAAGAAGGCTCTAAGAGACTTCATAAAAGTTCCTCGACTGGCGAATAGGTCCACAGATGCCACATGTTCGTACATGCCGTTCACTTGTCTCGGTAAGCGACAAAACATTCCGGCCCTTATCGTTTCCACCCTTGCGGTGGGTTCGTGCAGTATCGCCCGTCCTCGAGTCCGCCTACATGGAACACACAATCCAAACATCCCAACAATATCGGTGGACCTAATGCGACCAGAGAACACCGAATGAAGAAAAGTGAGATCGCGCTGCACCAACCTTGCCCGAATACAACTCACACCAAAATGAGACAGAAGCTGATGGTAATCGAGAGACTGAGAGGGCCGTGTGGAATGAGTTGCCAGCCAGATGAGCATCTTATGCTGGATACGTTCCAGACGCTGTATATGTGTTTTTGAGGCCCCAGCCCATACTATGCTACCGAATTCTATCACAGAGCGAACGTGGGCATTAAAAGCAGTGATAAGAGGCTCAGGTCGAAACCGTCTCCCCCTCGCAGCACGAGAGGTCTGCAGCGAGCGCAAGTACACGCCAAGCGCCCGGTTCGCACTCCCGACGACGCCGTCGACGTGAGGCCCAAAAGTTAATTTTGAGTCCATGAGCACACCCAGATCGCGCATCACAGATACACGATCTAAGGTGATCCCATGGATGGAGTAGTCGAAATGGACTGGTTTAGTGCGGAGAGTGAATGTAATCTGTTTACATTTTGTGGGATTCAATTGCAGCTTCCAAGTAGTTGACCATGTACAGAATTTATGTATATCGTTTTGAAGGGCGACAGCGTCATCAAGCGTGCGAACCGGGCGGAGCAGTTTCATGTCATCAGCATACATGAGGCACGACGAGTTCAGGTAAGATGGTAAATCGTTGCAGAATAAAATAAACAAGATCGGCCCACATATGCTGCCTTCCGGCACGCCCGACCCAACACGGGCCCAGCCAGACGTCTTCCCGTTGACCACCACTCGCTGCTCTCTCCCACAGAGGTAAGACTCGAACCACCGCAGGGCAGAACCGGAAAGATGATAGGAGTGACGAAGTTTGTGCAGGAGAAGAGAATGGTTAACGCTGGTAAAGGCAGAGGAGTAATCGGTGTAAATAACATCAGTCTGATGGCCCGAGGCGATAGCGTCCCACAACTGCTTGACGAGGCAGGTCAGGTTGGTCTCACAGGAGCGTCCGGCCAGGAACCCGTGCTGAGCCGGAGACAACACAGGGGCCACGTGCACAAGTAACTGGTCACACACTACTCGCTCGAGAATTTTGGAGCAAATTGACAAAAGTGACACAGGGCGGTAATTGGCCGGGTCTTTCCTGTCACCTTTCTTAAAAATCGGCACCACATTAGCCCGTTTCCAGACCAAGGGGAACTTTCCCTGGGCAAAAGACAAAGTACAGAGCTTGGTTAATGGCACTGAAAATTCGTCTGCACACTCTGATAAAATTCGTGCACTAAGACCGTCCGGCCCGCATGCCTTGTGTACGTCTAATGATAAAAGAATACCGCGCACCGTCTCATGCATCACAGTAAAACGATCGAGATTGTCAATGTCATACGATACACAGTCGGGGAATACATGCACACGCGGGTCAGAAAATTTGGCAGCGAATGACCGGCTAAAACATTCGGCACGCTCAGTGTCGTCAGTCACGATGCGACCGTCACATTTCAAGGCCGGTACACCACGCCCCGCGGACTTGATGGACTTAAGAAGCGACCAAAAACGTTTCGAGTTACTTTTAAAATCGTCCACTAAGTGTAAAATATACTGCCTGTACTTCGACGAGACGATACTTTTGAAGCGCGCCCTGCGATCGGAAAAAAGTGCTAAATTGTCCGCTGTGGGCGCCCTTTTCTTCTGGCGGTGGGCGGACTCCTTCTCACGCAGAGCACGTTTAACATCGGAGTCAAACCAGGGCGGGAACTTAGCTTTCAATGTCACTGTCGGAACAAAATCAGCAACAGCTGCCTCTACCCACTGATAAAATAGCCCTGCAGCGTCATCCACATCCATGTCATCCAACACGTTCCATGGTAAAAGACGCAAACACTCCTTTAGTCCAGGGAAGTCCGCTCGGCGATAGTTGAGCGCCGTGCTACGGGTAACACGTACAGGAGTCTGACGTGGGATAGAGAGTGTTACTACGGTCTGCATGTGGTCTGACTCAAACAGACCAGCATCCACCTCGCACTCACAGTGATTCAAATTTGAGATCACTAAATCGAGCATTGCATCATCACGAGTCGGCTCACAAACATGTTGCCTCAATCCATGGTCGGCAAGCATATCACAAAATGACAAAGCACGGGCTGTCCTACGCTGGAATACAGGGTAGTTGTTGGCGCCTGTCCATACAATCTCGGGCAAATTAAAATCGCCCAACAACAGCAGAGGACGATTGCCGACACACAAGTTGTCCATGGCACTAATGATACTCCTAAGGGAGGAGTCACTGTCCGGCGGACGATACGGCACAACAACAGTCATAACCGGACACAGACCCGCGAGATCAATCACCATGACCTCAGCACCAGCGGGCTCAGCCTCTGAGCGCCGGACGGGCAGCAAAGACGAGCGCACGGCACACGCCACTCCGCCGCCAGATGTCTCTGCCTCCCTGTCCCGGCGGAACCACACGTGATTGCTGAAGCCGTGTGACAGCTCGGAGTCTGCCACGTGAGGTTTTAACCACGATTCCGTGAACGCCACTATGTCGTGCCGCTCAAGAACAGGTGCAACGGCACGGAGTGTGCACAACTTGTTCTTCAGACTCCGTACATTCTGCGCCAGACACGATAACCGACCGGTCGCAGCGACAGCCGGCACAGTCCGAGCGGGGGTCGACTTGGAGTCGTTCATGCTAGACGGCGTCGGGCCGGGGTTGAGCTCAATGTCACCACAGAGGACGATGCGAGTGACGCTCCATGTTGAGCAGTTGTTATACATATCGAAAAACCGATAAACTTTTAGGCAAAAAAGGCACTATTTTAGGCCCATTTTTGATTTTTTTGCGATATTAGGTAAAAACAGAAGCTTCTTATCCTAGGAAAAATAAAATGGGAAATCATTTGAAGGTGGCACACTACCTTTAAGATAGGTCAACCCGCTGTCGGTGTGAGTCTAAGACAGACCACTGAGACCCGTTATAAGACAGACCAGACAGCCATACTGAGCCGTTAATACAAATCTGTCCACTGTCGATTTCAGCTGTTAAGACAGCTCACCCCGCCGCGCCGTCCTTCTGACCCGTCCGCCTCACCTTTCCGTTCATCCAGTCGGCCGGTGCCGGAGTTCCGGTCTCCTCGTCAGATAGGTGGAGTCGCCGGGCGGCCCGCGCCCGCTGCAGAACGCCGCTCACCAGACTGCCCCAGGGCATGGTGAGAGGGTCCACCGAGCGCTCCCGTAAAACGCCTGTCCACATAGCCCGGTTACCCATATTTTAGAAGACAATGAAAGAGAGCGACATGAAGGAGGGTAACATACGACGAGTGAGTGAGTTCAAGACGAGCATGGTTACGTATCAATTAACTGTCTTCACCGTTATTTTTTCTATGTTTTTTAGTTTCTCTCAGTTGTAGACAGCATTGGCATCTTGACCTTTTATGGTTTTGTGGTCATGGAATGAGTAAAGGCCGTTTTTTATTGTAGCCCTATTTTGCATCTTTCAGTGATACAAATATTTTGGAAGCATTACGAATGAATAGTTCGATTACTATTATCATTAGCAAAATACTTTTCATTATCAGTTATTACAAACAATTCAAGAACCTAAATTAAACCGCTATCAATCAACATCAAAGGTGTTCGAAGATTTGCAAACGTAGCGTAGGCATGTAATATGTATGTATAGGTACCTACCTATAAACATGCACACTTAACCCGGCGGCCGCTGGGCCTCCGCGCCACCCGCCGGCCGCTGGGGGGGGGGGCATAAAGTTGCCCCCCTTTACTTCTGCGACGATATCGTCGCAACGCGAAGAGATAGAGAAGCGAAACTTTGCACACATCTTCCTGAATACCTAGCCGAGGTTGTGTCCAAATTTAGTGTCGATCCCATTTGAAATGACGTCACAGTGACGTCATAAGTGAAATTATAAATTTGCGACTCTCATATTCCTCACGATACCTACATCACATATGTGGGACCGAATATAAAGGGCCGATTATTGGTCAGAAACTAGATAAAAGTGTAATAAGATGTTTTAGGATGACAGCAGGTGCTGTCTAGTTCATTTACAGTCGAGTTTCATGCTCAGCGTCATCAGAAACGGTCCATATCGGAAAACTACAAAACTTTATGACGTCACCGTGACGTCATCTTAGGTGCTACAACTACCAAACTTTCCTCAAACATTGCCTAGGTATTCATTTGAAGCTATGCCAAGTTTCACGTTCGTAGCTCATCAGGTTTCGGAGATATTTCACAAAACGTAAAGGGGGGGCAACTTTATGCCCCCCCCCCCAGCGGCTCGTGGGTTAAAGGTAGTGTGCCAGCTTTCTTGGACCATATGGAGTTAATGACCCGGATAAGGAGAACCGGATTTTTAGAACTTATCCATACCTTCAAAACTTATGGAAACGTCTTAAATTCTTCAAATTTTGAGTACCCCAGTGCGAAATTCGCCCCGACGGGTTGTCGGTCGTACCCCAACCACATTTCACACCACTATGAACAATAAATGCACACACTAAAATCGCTATTACCGATAGGCTCATCCAATCAAGTTTCGATAAACCCGTTCATCATCATCTTCTGCGGTTTCGAACACGCCTGTTAGGTGGCTTCTGATGCTCGTCGAGGTCGGAATTTCCAAATACGCGTGGTGCGTCGGGCCGCGCGCTCTGACTTCGGCCAAGAAAAATGCGTCAGCTGATCATTGTCATTTCTGCCACTTGCGTGTGGTGTAATGGGGTCATAACTTAAGAGACGGCTGTTTCATATCAATTATTTTACATAAAATCATATTTCAAACCACAAATTAATGTTCGACAGCCAAATTTAAGAAACAATACCAATACAGGCTTACAGTTTAAGGCTCGACATTGTGTTGTCTACGATTAGACAGCTGATAACTCATTCCCGTACGTCGTATGGTCGTAACACTATAATGACCTTTGCTTATTGTCACAAGTGCGCCGCATTCGCGATTGTTGCCCGACGCCTGTTTGCAGGTGAGCCTACTACAGTTGTTATACATATCTAAAAACCGATAAACTTTTAGGCGAAAAAGGCATTATTCCAGGCCCATTTTTGATTTTTTTTACGATATTAGGTAAAAACAGAATCTTCTTATCCTAGGAAAAATAAAACGGGAAGTCTTTCAAAGGTGGCACACTACCTTTAATATCAAAATATTTACTCTTACTGTGTCTAATGACAATTCTTACAATACGGCGTATGCGTCATTAACGATCAGACAAACAGCGGCAGAGTTGAAAGAGTTTCCGTCCCGGCCCATCACAATCACATTGTTCACACGCGATGTCCGTTAAGCCCCTTTGACGGCCGCACAGTAGCGGCGCCTTTGACGGCCGCGGGTGAGTGACTACCCGTCACTGCTGAGCGCCATTGACGGATGGCCGTCATCAGAGCTTCAGTCACCCTGAGCCGCATTTACCGGTCCGGCCATTAACCCGGCCGGGCCCGGGGGGTAATCCCAACTACCGCAGCCCGGGGGGGGGGGCGTTTTTCGCCCCCCCCCCTGTCTAACTCCGTAAATAAGGGAGCTACGGAAACAAAAGAGATACCAAACGAAAGGTCCTTACGAGACGATTCTAATGCACCTAAAAATTTTGACCTCAGGTCAATTTTCAAGGTCAGAGGTCAAGGTCAAAGGCCAAAATCGGCACATGTGTAGTGATCTCAAAGTAAGCCTTCTAGAGGACGGCAGGCTGCATCAAACCGGCAAAATTGGGTGTCAAACGAAAGAAGAGAATCTGAGGATTCTGAAAATGTGCTCCGAATCAAAGGTCAAGGTCAAGGTCACGCTCAAAATTGACCTCAAACTTGGCACTTTTCCGCACATCTTGCGTGCTAACTTCCAAGATGTTTTGAAATGTTTTGAGGCTTATCAGTTCCCTATTTGTGGTTTATCTTACGATACAAGGCTGCTTAAAGGTCAAGGTCACAGAAGAGTATCCCTGCTAGAGGCTATTTCACTGATTCAAGTTAGTAATAATAAATAAGACAATTTTGCCATCCGGAAGCTCTAAATGAAGGCTTAGAGGAAAATAGATGCCAGATTCGTGATCAGCAGGTACAAATCCATCATAAACGACCTTTCATGTGTCAAGGTCAACCAGAGGTCATTCGAGGTCACATGAGGTCAACATGAAACTTGACCTTTTCCGAACAAAATATATATCATTCGACGCGGCTTGACAAGGCGAATGCGATGGTACCACTGCCGTAGCTCTAGGACCATTTTTGTCGAAGTTATTTGCGAAAAACTAAAACCACATTTCGGGGTCGTTGACCTGACCTATGACCTCAGGTCACCAAAACTATTTTTCTATTTTTCTCTAGGTCAAACACTACACAGCCGTGCTCGTAATTTGTCTTTATCTCTAAAACTCTATTTTTGGCAGCTATTTGAAGTTTGCGTCTCTGACGCCGAAGTTTGCCGTGCAGGGGTCTAGAAAAATGGACCTTGTGACGTCATCAAGGGGGCTAGGTCCAAATTTTTTACTTCAGAAGATGTCAAATTGATGGGAGAAAAGGTACTGAAAGTTTCGCCTTCCTATCCCTAAGCGTTCGGGAGTTATCGCAAATATTCGCCAGGGGGGGCGAAAAACGCCCCCCCCCCGGGCCCGCGAGGGTTAACGTGGAGATTTAAACAAAGGACACACCCCACGGCTCAGGTTAGATTCACCTAGGGTAAAAAATGAAGTTTCAAACAAATAATTCACATGGCTCAAAACAGACCAGGCTGACTGCCTTACCTCGGGACACAAAAGGATGGTAATTACTAAATACTAAAATATTTCATACTAAAATATATTAAATTGTATTCCCATTCTAAATTTCATTTATCTTTTCCAAACATTAGCAGTGCTGTCGTTTTTATTGTACGGGGCTAAATTATTGCAACTTCCTGTCATTAATTTTTAACAATAATTTTTATGACATGTAGGCCGTTCTGACATGGTCCTGTGGTGGACGTTATCCTCCCTGTTCAATTGCAATTTTTAATATGAAGCCTTTTGGCAGGCTTACAAAATTGTGTCTATAAATTAAATGCATAATTCATAATTGTAAATAACGTACACGAAATTGCTATTATGCTAATTCATGCCAACACGGAACAAAATGCATAAAGCTTAGTTAATAATCTAGACTAGTATCCCAGTGGCACGATGGTGAAAATATGCTGGAAATTAGCATTTGTGGTCGATACTTGCCCTGACAAGTTCACCATATTGCTGTCGAATCAAATTGCATATGGAGCATGACCGTAACCGTAAGAAAGGTAAGTTCATCGAACATCCGACGCGCAACATGTCACAAGTTTAGCTAAGGCAACGGCCGGTGTTTTCAGCGGTCGCAGCAGGTATGAAGCATACAAAAACACTTTGAAAGCCCGGCATGCCTTATCAGTGGTGAAAGGAAAGACACTCCACAGGAGACACTCAAGGGACACTCGGGGAGCACTCCAAGCGCTACTCACTGTTATCTGTTCCTGTCGACGGCTCCGCCAGACGGCTACACGCTCCCTGCCAGTACCACTGCACGACGAAGGGGCACTGACGGCACCCACCGGGCGACGGGAGGGGCACTGACGGACCCGCCGACGATTCTCCTGAGTGCCGGTCGGCCTCTGGCAGCCTCAGCCCGCACGGCGCAGCGTCCGACGGTATATGCGGCCCTGCGTCCGACGATCCCCGGCACCGACCGGGCGTCGGACGCCGGTCCGCGGCCGCGCCGGTCGGACCTCCCGCCGTATTTACACCCCCGGTCGGTGCTTACCTACTTACCATCGGGCGATCAGATAGGGCTCTTTTACAGTTGGTATTTGGCCAAACTCCATTAGTTGCTCTGCTTGGACCAATTATCTGCCTTGGCTGTCGTAGCTCGTAGCTATTCAACCAGTCTCTACAATGCCGTGTATTCACACGGCATTCAGTTGCATCCAGACTGCGCGTACCTAATGCATTTCATGTGCACACGTGTGTAAGTTTGAGCCTCAGTTGTTTAAAGATCACACCTAGACGCCATTGCCTACGCCGTTTTATGAGTCAGATAGGTATTAACCCTAGAACGCCTAGGGGGGGGGGGTTGTATCAACCCCCCCCCCTGAGGTTTTTTCGAAGTGCACGCTAAACGGCTTGTCGTAGCGGGCTGAAATTTTCAATACCCTCTGGGGCAACCGTTGCGCATCTTTTGCCGAAAAAAATTGATCGGGTCA